CATATCAAGGGGAAATACGGTTACATTCTTTGTACCTCACAGCCGAACCGTATCATATCAAGGTAAAATACGGCTACATTCATTGGACCTCCCAGACAAACCGAATCATATCAAGGGGAAATACGGTTACATTCATTGAACCTCACAGACGATCCGTATCATATCAAGGGGAAATACGGTTACATTCATTGCACCTCACAGACGAACCGTATCGTATCAAGGTTTAATACGGTTACATCCATTGTACCTCACAGACGAACGGTATCATATCAAGGTGAAATACAGTTACATTCATTGTACCTCACTGACGAACCGTATCATATCAAGGTGAAATACGGTTACATTCATTAAACCTCACAGACAAACCGTATCATATCAAGGTGAAATACGATTACATTCATTGTACCTCACAGACGAACCGTATCATATCAAGCTGAAATACGTTTACATTCACTGTACCTCACAGACAAACCGTATCAGATCAAGGTGAAATACGGTTACATGCATTGTACCTCACAGACGAACCGCATCATATCAAGGTGAAATACGGTTATATTCATTGTACCTCACAGACGATCCGGATCATATCAAGGTGAAATACGTTTACATTCATTGTACCTCACAGATAAACCGTATCATATCAAGGTGAAGTACGGTTACATTCATTGTACCTCAAAGAGGATCAGTATCATATCAAGGTGAAATACGGATACATTCATTGTACCTCAAAGACGATCCGTATCATATCAAGGCGAAATACGGTTACATTCATTGTACCGCACAGACGAACCGTATCATATCAGGGTTTAATACGGTTACATTCATTTTACCTCACAGACGAACCGTATCGTATCAAGGTGAAATACGGTTACAGTCATTGTACCTCACAGACGATCCGGATCATATCAAGGTGAAATACGTTTACATTCATTGTACCTCACAGAAGAACCGGATCATATAAAGGTTAAATAAGGTTACATTGATTTTACCTCACAGACAAACCGTATCAAATCAAGGTTTAATACGGTTACATTCATCGTACCTCACAGACAAACCGTATCGTATCAGGGTTTAATACGGTTACATTCATTGAACCTCACAGACGATCCGTATCATATCAGGGTGAAATACGGTTACATTCATTGTAACTCACAGACGAACCGTATCATATAAAGGTTTAATACGGTTACATTGATTGTACATCAAAGACAAACCGTATCATATCAAGGGGAAATAAGGTTACATTCATTGTACCTCACCGACAAACAGTATCATATCAAGGTTTAATACGATTTCATTCATTGTACCTCACAGACAAGCCGTATCATATCAAGGTTTAATAGGTTACATTCATTGTACCTCACAAACGATCCGTATCATATCAAGGTGGAATACGGTTACATTCATTGTACCACACAGACAAACCGTATCATATCAGGGTTTAATACGGTTACATTCATTATACCTCACAGACAAACCGTATCACATCAAGGTTTAATACGGTTACATCCATTGTACCTCACAGACAAACCGGATCATATCAAGGTTTAATACGGATACATTCATTGTACCTCAAAGACAAACCGTATCATATAAAGGTTTAATACGGTTACATTCATCGTACCTCACAGACGATCCGTATCTTATCAAGGTGAAATACGGTTACATTAATTGTACCTCACAGACAAACCGTCTCATATCAAGGTGAAATAGGGTTAAATTCATTGTACCTCACAGACGACCCGTATCATATCAAGGTTTAATATGGTTACATTCATTGTACCTCACAAACGATCCGTATCATATCAAGGTGGAATACGGTTACATTCATTGTACCACACAGACGATCCGTATCATATCAAGGTTTAATACAGTTATATTCATTGTACCTCACAGACAAACTGTATCATATCAAGGTGAAATACGCTTACATTCATTGTACCTCACAGACCATCCGTATCATATCAAGGAGAAATACGGTTACATTCATTGTATCTCACGGACGAACCGTATCATATCAAGGTAAAATTCGGTTACATTCATTGTACCTCACAGCCGAACCGTATCATATCATGGTGAAATACGATTACATTCATTGTACCTCACGGACAAACCGTATCACATCAAGGTTTAATACGGTTACATCCATTGTACCTCACAGACGATCCGGATCATATCAAGGTGAAATACGGTTTCATTTATTGTCCCTCACAGACGAACCGTATCATACCAAGGTTTAATACGGTTACATTCATCGTACCTCACAGACAAACCGTATCGTATCAGGGTTTAATACGGTTACATTCATTATACCTCACAGACAAACCGTATCAGATCAAGGTGAAATACGGTTACATTAATTGTACCTCACAGACAAACCGTTTCATGTCAAGGTTTAATACGGTTACATTCATTATACCTCACAGACAAACCGTATCAGATCAAGGTGAAATACGGTTACATGCATTGTACCTCACATACGATCCGTATCATATCAAGGTGGAATACGGTTACATTCATTGTACCTCTCAGACGAACCGTATCATATCAAGTTTTAATACGGTTAGATTCATTGTACCTCACAGACGAAACGCATCATATCAAGGTTTAATACAGTTACATTCATTGTACCTCACAGTCGATCCGTATCATATCAAGGTGATATACGGTTACATTCATTGTACCTAACAGACGAACCGTATCATATCAAGGGGAAATAAGGGTAAATTCATTGTACCTCACAGACGATCCGGATCATATCAAGGTGAAATACGTTTACATTCATTGTACCTCACAGAGGATCCGTATCACATCAAGGTGAAATACGGTTACATCCATTGTACCTCACAGACGATCCGCATCATATCAAGGTGAAATACGGTTTCATTTATTGTACCTCTTAGACAAACCGTATCATATCAAGGAGAAATTCGGTTACATTCATTGACATCACAGACGAACGGTATCATATCAAGGTTTAATACGATTACATTCATTGTACCTCACAGATAAACCGTATCATATCAAGGTTTAAAACGGTTACATTCATTGTACCTCACTGACGATCCGTATCATATCAAGGTTTAATACAGTTACATTCATTGTACCTCACAGGCGAACCGTATCATATCAAGGTGAATTACGGTTACATTCATTGTACCTCATAGACGAACCGTATCATATCAAGGCTTAATACGGTTACATTCATTGTATCTCACAGACGATCCGTATCATATCAGGGTGAAATACGGTTACATTCATTCTACCTCACAGACGAACCGTATCATATAAAGGTTAAATACGGTTACATTCATTGTACGTCACAGACGAACCGTATCATATCCATTTTTAATACAGTTACCTTCATTGTACCTCACAGACAAACAGTATCATATCAAGGTTTAATACGGGTACATTCATTGTACCTCCCAGACAAACCGTATCATATCAAGGCGAAATACGGTTACATTCATTGTATCTCACAGACGAACCGTATCATATAAAGGTTTAATACGGTTACATTCACTGTACCTCACAGACGAACCGTATAATATCAAGGTTAAATACGGTTACATTCATTGTACCCCACAGCCAAACCGTATAATATCAAGGTTTAATACGGTTACATCCATTGTACCTCACAGACAAACCGAATCATATCAAGGCGAAATACGATTACATTCATTGTACCTCACAGAAGAACCGTATCATATCAAGTTTTAATACGGTTAGATTCATTGTACCTCACAGACGAATCGTATCATATCAAGGTTTAATACGATTACATTCATTGTACCTCACAGATGAACCGTATCATATCAAGGTGAAAAACGGTTACATTCATTGTACCTCATAGACGATCCGTATCATATCAAGGTCAAATACGGTTACATTCATTGTACGTCACAGACAAACCGTATCATATCAATGTGAAATACGGTTACATTCATTGGACCTCACAGACGAACCGTATCATGTCAAGGTGAAATACGGTTACATTCATTGTACCTCACAGACGAACCTATCAAGGTGAAATACAAAGTTAAATGCGATCATTGATAACTTGCAATATGTTGTTGTTTTTTAAATTGAATTAATTTATAATGTTATAGTTTAAAATGTCACCCTTTCGTTACGGGACCACTGAGAGTCGGCGGTTGTGTCACTTCCTTTCAGGGGTGTACCTAACCCCTGTCTCAGTACCACAACAGTAGTGGTCATCAAATGGAAAAACAACAAATACGGGGCCTATGACACGCCAACTTGACATTAACATATAAAATTGATATCTCTATTGATTAAGAAGATATCTTATAAACAGTAAAAATGGTTCATATACAAATGTAGTCATAACTATATGAGACATCTCAATATCATTAATAGATAGCTCTATTTCATTAAAAGATATCTCTTTCAATATTATATGAGATATCTTCAAATATTTTTATAAGATATCTTTATATATTTATATAAGATATCTTCAAATATTTATATAAGATATCTTTAAATATTGATATAGGATTCATTTAAATGTAATAGAGATAGCATAGGCATCTTCCAATAAATTACACATAAAAGATATCTCAGTAAATTATAGTAAACACGAGCTCTTAGTCATCCAAGCGACGTTTGCAATCCAGGAACACACTTCTATACTGCTGTTTATTGAAGTCAATTCAACTTTGTGCCCGTCCTCCGGGTTCATTGTTTTATTTTAGTACACTCACGCACTTTGAGCTCCTCGGTGGCTCGTTCCTTGCACACTATGATGGAGCGCAGCGGAGTCACCCGAGGTTTGCCGTTTAACACTCACGTGGTTGCTACCTCCGGTGGACTTCGAGTACCTTGCAAACTCCCCGTATTTATGGAATAACAAGTCGGATTTTGCGAGAGATACGTTAAGCTATATTTGGACTGGCGTGTGTAACAAAAGTAGTACGATCTCTATGACAATCGAGATGTTTTTGAAGCAACTAATCCAATTTCTTTGTTTCTTTCAGGGTGAGCGTATAAACGTGATGTGTGGATTCGGGAAAACAAATAAATCGGTGAGTAACTTAACACGAAGTTAAAAATATTAAATGGAGTTACCGTTTATGGAAACAAAGATTTTATATTGGTTATTGATGATTTCCACAGAATATCACGTGAAACACGCCTCATAAGCGTATTTCTTAAGAAGACATTTCTTTATTTAATTATATATATAATATACATCACTACCGTTATATTTGGGTTGATTCGCGAACATAGTCAATCGCGAAGTCAAAAATTCATAGCAATACAAATTGGTTTGGCATTTTGGATTAAAGTCTTTCAGCTAAGGTCATTTAAGGACGTGTCTATGTGTGTAATGTGTGCGTGTATATGTCTCTTCGTGCCGGGAGGTATGTTGGTGTTTTGCATCCTTGTGATGATCTGATGCTGACCTTAGAGTGCTACCTCTCTGAAATACCATGCTGAAGGCACCCAGCACAGCATTCCACCCAGTCACATTGTACTGAGACAGGGTATACCAGTTGTTGCGAATTCTAAGTTCGTGTATTTGTGAGAATGAAGAAATAGCCTCCGTTTCCTTGCAGTATTCAGTGTTGCGTGATGATGGGACTTTTTGTTAGGATGGAGGGGTGAGGGACTGGTGGGGAAGGCAGTAAAACATCTGTTTAAAAAAGGAATTTCCAACAGTCCTTTAGGAACCAGACCGACCACATATAAGCCTCACTGTGATTATGTCAAAAGCGGAAGTGATTACTCGGAACCGATGAACCTGTGACGTGTCACAGGATTGTAAGTCTACGAGAACCCTGGTCGTTAACCCCTCGTGTCACAGTAGAGACGTAAATGTGTTGTCAACGTGTAGCTCCAGAGATGTCACCCAAGGTCACGCGAGGTCACGCGATTCCGAGAAATCGATTTCCTTTTGACATTGACAGTTGTATTGTGTACATTGTGAAGCCGTATTAGGACTGGGTAATGATATTTTATGTGTCCGGTAAAGTCTTGTGGCCGGAGAACTAATGTCCGGTTAAGTCCAGTTGTCGGAATTGATGGTCTCAGCGTCTTTACTGCTTTATTGTGGGACATTAATCAGTAGTACACTACATGTATCAGACAATGACGTATCTGGGGGAAATCCGGGGAAATCTGGGGGAAATCCGGGAGAAATCCAGGGCTTCGGTTCCCGCCCAAGTCGATCAATTTCTTTTAAAATATATTCTTGTCAAATTTTCTTTCAATTGGAACATCATCCGAACCCAATCAGTGTTGTGATCTCTTTGAATCATGCTCTGCGCAGACAAGAAGATGTCGTTCTTGATTGTGTGGCCAAGTAGGTACTATTACAACTGCATGTATAACAATACTTTCATGTATATGCATATGACAAAAAAAATACCAAATTTTCCCGGAGCATTGATTTTTATGTTGATTATTTCATTGGTGGCATCAGTAAGGTTAGTTTGCATGTCGCATTGGAAAAACCAGCACACATTTTACTGCGTTTCTGTTTATTTGACAATGGTCGAAAACTCCCATTTTCTCTCCTCCAAAAATCAAAAAACACATTTATGTCTTTCAACGGTATTGTTACAAAATAATTATTTTTAACCTCTAAAAAAGGGTCTTGCAAATAAAAACTGTTGTATTTTTTCCTTGTTTAGGAGGACAAAGGCTAGTGACGAAAGGTTGTGGGTACAAGCTGTACGGCTCAATAGAATTGTTGTTTGGTACAGAAATAAAATGTCCGCTAATGGAGTCAATATTTGGTCTGTCACATCGTCTTGTTTGCATTGTATCTCTGAAGTCCTCCCACTTAGTCACTACGAATAAGGAGCTTATTGACGAATGGCTAAACTAGTTACAAACCTACGTCATCTACTCCATACATACGACGCACAATGTATAAAATTGAGCTTTGCCGGAACACAAGNGTAGGGGGGGGGGAATCAGAAATGTAATTTAAACTATAAGATATAATGTAAGGCATGTATGCCCTCTTTTCGCTGAACTCGGTAAAATGCTGACAATGAATATGTTGAATAGAAATTGTACCCTTGCAGTTGACCTTGGGACCCTGAAGCACAAAATCACCCGAGGTTTTCTTTTAGCTGATCTATGTATTCACATTGGTGAAAATCTGTTAAGTAATGAAGTTGGCAGAGTCGTGACAAGAAACGGAACCGGAAGTTACAGGACCGGAAGTTACGGGACCGGAAGTTACGGGACGGGACAGACACTATGGATAACACGATATGCCCCGAATTGTTATGGGGGGAGAGGGGGGTCTTTAAGATATTCAGCGCAGTTAAAAGTCGTGCAGGAAAATAATAAACCGTATGCGTCGAAACGCTGGGTGTACCTAGGAAACCTCACGACACATTCCTAACAGCTAGCAAGGTATAATAGATTGTGTTTATACAGAAATGTAGAAAAAACATATATCTTTCGCCTTTCACCAATGCGGTAAGGGTTCGATTCCCCGATCGGACGTGTGGTCACCTGCCCGACCATGTTGGATTTTTCCGGGTTCTCCGGTTCTTCCCACATTTAGTGCCCCAGCGCGTTAACATCTTGGCAATCAAGAAAGTTTCATATTTATTGCACAAAAATAAAGTTTATATCTGTAAATCACACAAACGATTTCGTGCCATTAACATATGGCTACCTATAAAAGTCTAAATTGTAAATGACCTGGTGACAAAAAAGCTATCAAACTTGTGAATTTCAGAAAAGTGACGTGGAAGACTGGATCTATACACAAGGGTGTGTGAAGGGATTCGGGGAGTGGTTGGGTAAACACGAACAGATTATCCTCCTTACGGCCGGCGGGGTTATGGCTATGCAGGTAAGAGAGAGAAGTGCTATTTGGGTTGAAAAAAAATCAGGATCGAAAAGCGTCTTTTTAACACCAATTATGGTGAGGAAGTATGTTGTATATTGAATACTTTCATAAGTGTAATCTAAAATGCCTTTCAGTCGTTATTTTTACGATCAAAACATTTAAAACATCCTTTTCTTCTGATTGGTTTCTTTTGGTTCATGAAACATTTTAAATTTGCAGTTTTGCCCAATGGCAGTACATAGCGACATAAACAGGCGGTAAATGTAATTCGGGCTGTAGAACGGAAATGTTAATATAAATACGGAAATCTATGCGAGGTTATTGTCAAGTATGAACGTTAAAACAAAACCTTATGGTGTTTGAGAGAGTAACATTGAAGGAAAAATAGCCTTTTTAAGATATATCACCATCTCTCTACACCATATCAGAGACGTGAGCACTACGGTAGAATAACAAAACATGATGCAATATTTCCGTTTTTGTCGCCATTATTGCAGTAATGATTAATCATTCTCTTCCGTTGTGTGCTTACAGCTCCTTGGAGTCATCTTCGCCAGAATATTTGTGAAACGTGTGACAAAACAGCGCGCACGCTGGAAACAGATACGTCGCCGCCAGCAGCGGACTCCTACTTAATGTGCCTTTCTATAGACTATATGTGACGTCACATCCGGACTGTGACACCAATTTGACTCAAAGACTGTGTTCAAGGCCTGTGTTTCTCAGGCAACTAGGAGTTAACCTCGAAATGGTGAACGACAGAAATGGTGTGTAAATGGCATGTTCGATCCGCCACCATCTTCTTCGTGGCTCAATACCTAAAGAGAGAAGCGAGATGCGCGTGCGCGTGCGAGAACACGTTCCGGAGATATGGTTCCATCGTAAACATACTGGTATCCATTCTTGCTGAAGCACGTGTACGTCAAGGACAGAGGGTCGCCAAATACTGCTGTTTTAATGATGTCATACTCGTTGTGTGTGACGTCTTGTTAGTCTTGCATCACGAATATTGATGACGTCAGCTATGCACTGAACTATTTTTAGACTGGTGCGCTATCTCTGTTTTGCCTTGTGATGACGTCATATGTCGACCGCTAGTATTCTGCAGTTACAGGTCATGGAATGGTTTATGTGTGATGGAAAAGAGATCGTCTTAGACCGAACGCATCAACGCAAGGACGAAATTCCCGACACATCGACATCTGAAATTGTAATCAGAGATCTTAACTTTTCGATGCGAGGGTGGATAAAAATTCGACAAAATGGCGCCCTACAGCGGTGAAGTTTTGCAAGGAACACTTGATCCATGACGTTTTAGTATTTACCAATAGGTTACCGTAGTTGTTCAAGTTGATTTGGTTGAAAAAAACAAGCCTACGACATGGAAATTATCGGCAATCGCGTCCATAAGAATTACCCCCCTTTGTTATCAGCTGGCGTATGGTGGTGGCGCTACCTAAACGTGGTCGCGTGACAAATGTCGTCTTAACTCGTGCGGGTCAAGTGTGAATACGATCTAGATTATTGACCACAAGGGGTTCCCGCCACGTCTACAGTCAGCGTGACCAGTTACCGCCAGTGACCAGTGGGAACTAATTACTCCGACATTTAATTATGGAATTTAACATTACTGGGAAACAACATGTTTGGCTGTACTATAATCCGATTATTGTCGAGATCATTTTTACGTTTTGAGTTTTTGTTCTGTTGTATTATATCTGCATAATATGGGAGCTATAGAAAGCTTTCTTTTCTCCTACTTTTCCGCTCCTTTAATAAACTAAATACACAGGTTTTACTTAAAAGGATAAATAGCATTTACATGTAACCGCACGACAAACGTTGTAAAAGAAATATTGTTGTTCCGGTCGTATACTGAAATGACAATTTGTGAAGGATATGGAACATATTAAATCTCGACGAGATTTCTAAGATATTGGTTTAACAAGTTGTTCGTTTTTTATTTAAGCGAAGCCTGATGAGTTCAAACTGTGTATTGCATCCTTGTTAATTCACATTCTTGTCAGTGATATACGTGTTGCATCTGCCAGATTCTATCTTAAGCCAAGTTAGACTTTTTTGCAGATGACACTATTGTCTATGTAACCGTTTTATCTGACCTGGACGCAGAAACACTCCAAAAAGATTTGAACCTTCTTGAAAAGTGCAGGGGAAAAAACTGGCTAATGTCCTTCAATCCTGATAAATATGAAATTCTACACATCTCACAGAAAAAACTAACACACAAATTTAACTACATTCTTCATGGACAAATTATCAAGCAAACAGATTCGGCTAAATACCTGGGCTTAACTGTCACTAAAAACTTTCCATGGAACTCCAACATCAATAACATTACCAACAAGGCCAATGCATCCCTAAGATTTATTCGGAGAAACATCAAAACCACTAACGTTACAAAAGAGTTAGCTTATAAAACGTATGTCCGCCCACACCTTGAATACTGTAGCCCGATCTGGGATCCATGGCAGGCAAATCTTACCATTAAGGTTGAAATGGTACAGAGAAGAGCCGCCAGGTACACTCTTGGGCGCTATAACTACACCAGTAGCGTTACAGAAATGCTCCAAAACTTGAACTGGCAATCCCTTGAACAACGCCGTAAAATGACCTCCACCATATTGCTATATAAAATTATAAATGGCCTTGTGGCATATGATGGCAACCTCCAAATTCTCCAGCGAACCCGACAACACAAATTCCAGATTCCACACAGCTCGACAAATTATCATGCAAATTCATTCTTTCCTATAGCAATTCGTACCTTGAACAGCCTCCCACCCTTCATCGCCGACAGTGCAGACCTATCAACACTAAAGGCAAATCTCCTCTCTCACAAATTCTAAGCGTATACATGTTGTTTTTATAGTATAGTTCTAAAAACAAGATGAAAATACTTGTTTTTCCCGATCTCTGTGACGCCTCTAAGTAATGTTCAGTATATTGAACGCTTTAGAGGATCCTGTTGAAGTTGAAACGTCAGGGAACAGACACTCCAGCATGTGTCCCGGAAAGCTAAAAAACACAACGTTCTTTCTTTGTACTTACTTTCAGCGTGATTTCTTGAATAATTTCAGTATTTTATATTAGTTTGTAAGAGCCCTTTGTTTACACGTAACACGGAATAAAAAAAAAACTGGGATACATACACAGCATACAATCTAGGACTGATTAAAATCCAAACGGAATACAATTTACATAATCGTTCCCGGCATGCACCTGAAATGTACCGTACACTTGAGTAACATGCTGTGACGCATTTTCATGAATAAATTTACATTGGTTCAAACTGCCTGTCTGATCGACTGGGTTTCCTTGGAGATCTAATGCAGTGTACCATACGTACTAAGTTTGTGAAGTGGTCATTGTTTCTTATCATACGACGTTCATTGACTTAAAAATTATTTTAATATATTATTTGTCTAAAGAGCTTATGTTCTTGTTTAACCATAATCGACACTAAATAAAGAATCTTGTATATATTGTATTTTATTGTGATATATATCTCCTTTCATTAAGAAAACATTGTCTAGGGGGAACAACTCTAACACAACAAAATGAAACTCGGGTATATTAAAGTAATGAAGCATTGCCCAAGAATGGAGGCGACTCTGACGCAAATAATGAAATATAAGTTAATTCTGAATTATAAAACTTCATGCTAATTCAAATTTTGTAAAAGGAACAACTCTAGCACAGATGATGAAAATTCAGATAATTTTAGAATATAATGTATATAAGAAAAGGCGAAAGAGGGTGACAAATAGAGGTCATGAGATGAGATATTTAGAGGTCATGAGATCAAATATTTAGAGGTCATGAGATGAGATATGTAGAGTTCATGAGATGAGCCGTATAGAGGTCGTAAAATGGGACATTTAAATGCCATGAGATGAGCTGTATTATGGTCGTGAGATGAGACATTTAGCGATCATGAGACAAGACATATATAGGTCATGAGATGAGCCTTATCGATGTCGTGAGATGAGACATTTAAAAGTCCTGAAATGAGACATTTAGAATTAATGACCATCTGTCACCTGAAATGAGACATTTGGAATTGTTGAAACGTAACATTTAGAGGTCATGAGATGAGCCGTATAGACGTCGTAGGAAAGGACATTTAAAGGTCGTGAGATGAAATATAAAGAGGTCACGAGATGAGACATTCAGAGGTCATGAGATGAGACATTTAGAGGTCATGACATGAGACATAAAGAGGTCATTATATGAGACTTATAGAGGTCACTAGATAAACCGTATATAGAGGTCATGAGATGAGACATTTAGAGGTCGTGGAATGACACATTTAGTGGTCATAGGATGAGACAATGGAGGTCATGAAATGAGACATTTAGAGGTCATGAGATGGTTTAATCCCCAAGGTGTAATTATTGCCATGCAGACGTTATTTTCTGCATACGTATGTCAAATAAACCTTCGAAAATGATTTCGTTCAAATGTTGATAGATCAAGCCCACTTCACGTGACAGATTCACGTGACAGATGACCACGTGACAGATGACCACGTGGAACTGTTTATATGTGAGGTTGTGTGGGATGGGGAGGGGGAGAAGCATGTTGTAATATAAAACCAGAATTAAATTATCGATTAGAGGAAGCTTAATAACTACTTGGTTAGATGCATACATCTTACAGCGGGAAAAAGACATACGATAATAATTAAAACGGTTTCTATATATAACTATCTACAAATGTGTTGTTGCTTTTTCATAACGGAGCTAAGAAAACCTCACTGAAACAGTTAGTCTGACATCGTTGTGTATTAACATTAAGTGAAATATTTTTACCGTAACTTCACTCTATACTGAACGGAACTGAGACATGATCGCCCCTAATTCCACCTTATTTTTCTTGACCTGAAACTGAGCCTCCGTTATATATACATATAACTATAAATAGAAAAAAATAAGATTTAGCGACCGACTAAAAAAACTAGCTGCTTTCACCCTTCACAGGGCTCTTCAGGTTTCCCTGTGAAGGGTGAAAGCAGCTAGTTTTTTAGTCGGTCGTTAAATCTTATTTTTCCTTTTTACTTAATGCAAATGGACATTAAATCTGTTTTTATTATATACATTTTATATATATATATTTAAGAAAGCGAGACAAATCCACTGTACCCTTTGCTTAACACTTATATGAGTTATTTGAGATATAATCACCTAAATCTTCACTTGATAGGTATTTTAATGAATTGAGACAATCGCTACAGGCCATATTTTATCAAATACATGTAGCAGAACTGATACTTCACGCATCCGACAAATATTTTACAAACTTTTTACATGACCAGAGGTCAAAAACATGATACTAACTGAGCGATGAAGCAAGAGGTGTTCCGAACCTAGGGGGGAGAAAATCCTACAAGAATAATTTGTTTGAAAGAGTAGCCTCCCTTGCTCCGAAAATTATAATTATGATTTATTCTAAGGGAGACAACCGTGCATAGTATAGACCGATTTTTCCAGTTCAAAAAGAGATTGCTTTTAAAATAATTAGTGATATTTTGTGGCTATAACGTTGAAATAATTATGTACATTTAACAATGCTTAAAAATATGAACAAATCAATTTCAATAACCATCCCCCAACTGTACACGTGTTGATAATTCAAAAGGCGTTAACTCATTATTTCGATAGTTTCACATTTTCTGTGTTACACACATATTCTGGTAGCTACAGATCAAATCGTCATCCACAGAACAACGATAGAAATGTGATTTTATGTAAAATGAGAAGTTGAAATATTATGAATTATGTATTGAGCCCTTCACCGTCTTGAGACCTATATACCAAATGGTACGAATATAATTTGTTCGTTTCTAAATACTTATTCGAATTTTGTACAATTTTTATTGATGACAAATCCAAAAATAATGCAACATTCAATCTGCGTATGATCAAATAACTCAATTACATGAAATCCTGAAACGATCTTAAACGGCTCTGCCGAAAAATATTGACTGCTCCCTTATTTTTGTCCCAGAAATAATGAGCTACTCCCTTGTTAATAATGTTGACACGCGCGCTCATATGACATCAGCTCTCTTCTTTATATAAGAGGTTTGTACAAGCCGTCTAAATGGAGTCTAATGTCAAAGAATGACAAGAACGTCATACTTAAACACGTGGAGTGGATCCATGTTCAATTCATGGCATTTCATAAATTATACACAAGTTAAAAGCAATTCAGTCTATTTTAGATATTTATTTTATTTTCGAAATAACATGACGCGGTCATTCAAATTTTGTGAAAGTATGGTAAGTAATATTAAAAACTATCTCAATGACATCCTGTGTCGAAAGAATAGACATTTCGTAAATTGGCTTTAAAGAGCTCGTAATTTAAAGAACTACCGTTATTATGTATAGCTGGCAATGCAAAACAGATTAATGTTGGTATTTCTACCTCCGTATTCAAGGAAGCATTATTTTCTAGGCGGATCCGGAGTGTCTTTTGGTTTAAGAAGTGTTATGAATTGACTTGGTGACCCTATTTATATTGTTTCTTGTAAATCACGTTCTTGTAGACTATTGCTGCTACCAAAAATGTCATGTATAAAATGATGTCCTTGCTTGCACTCTATGTTATAGTATTTTAATGTTATTACTCTTTCTAAGATTATGATCAGAGTAATTTGACACATTTTGCGGAAGTGACAATGTTGACTATTATGTTGTTTTTTAACATATAATTTTAATAATTGACATAGTAATAACTCGGCGTAAATAGTTTAATATCTAAGCCAAACGTGAATTCATCCTTAGTAATCTTCTTTCATATGCATTGTCAAATCTAATAAATAAATAACAATAAATTACACAATGAAATGTTTTTAATAAAATATTTACAAAAAATACACTTCGTCCATAAAAAAATATCTCAGTTATCTGTGTGTGATTAGGATGTATCGATACGTGCTAAGGTCTCTGTCCTTGTCACGGTTAACCTCTCTGTTTGGTCAAAACATTATCAGATTCCCTCTCCGATTGGTCAAAAAATTACCAGATTCCCTCTCCGATTGGTCAAAACATTACCAGATTCCCTCCCCGATTGGTCAAAACATTACCAGATTCCCTCCCCGATTGGTCAAAACATTACCAGATTCCCTCCCCGATTGGTCAAAACATTACCAGATTCCCTCTCCGATTGGTCAAATCACTATCAGATTTCCTCTCCGATTGGTCAAAACATTATCAGATTCCCTCTCCGATTGGTCAAAAAATTACCAGATTCCCTCTCCGATTGGTCAAAACATTACCAGATTCCCTCTACCATTTGTCAAAACATTACCAGATTCCCTCTCCGATTGGTCAAAACATTACCGGAAACCAGATTCCCTCTCCGATTGGTCAAAACATTACCAGGTTTTGGATTCCTTGGTTTTTGTTGTGATTAACTTTCCCCAGACTCAAAATCCCTATGTTTGTGATGATAAAACCCGGGACCTAAATACCTTTGTTTGGTATGATAAACAAAACCCTACCCACCTCCCCCAGCCCCGAACCCGAACCCATGACTCATTTGTTGGGTGCTATGAAACCCGCCCCGAGAACACACCGGATCCACGAGTTCCACTTTGTGGCTTTTGCGCTGGTCACGATAAACCTACCTCAGACTCAGAAACCTTGCGTTATCGTGTCAAACCTTCATCCACGCTCTTAGATATATCATTCGACATGCTTAACGTCTTATTGAATAAAATGCTGCTATAACCCTCGGGTCTTAGTTTCATAAGGTTTTGATTTAGATATTTCCTTAACTCTAGAGAAATTAGGAAATCTAACTTGCCAAAGAAACATCAGGAACCAGACACACCCCTTGAACCCTTCGAGTATTTTTTAGCTTGACAACCCCAAAAGCACAACTAGGGCTTTACATCACACGGCTCAGACTTTACGAAACAGTATTAACTATGGTAAATCCGTTAAAATTTCGTTGTAGAGATTAAGCTGGGGGAAATCTTACATCAAGTTACTTTATGAAACTAGGAACATATTCAGGTTTAAATCTCTGTCAAAATGGCTCCGTGTAAAGGATAACACATAATCCAAGATAATCGTAATACAAGTATAATAGGAAGTAATTGTCTTTGAATGGATTTAAGTGATTTGCGTAGTTTAACAATGTTTGTTTGTGTTTGGACTACGTGCAACGCAGATAACGTTACAAGGGAGGTAACTCCAACTTCCTTGCAGAATTTAATGATATCTATCCTGGGCTGTTCGTTTATGTGGAACAACCGGTACGTCCGTTTTTTAAATGTAACATTTTCGGGTATCAATCTTGGCGAACCTTCAAAAGCTTATGCAGGCCTTACAAGGCTTGGTCAGACTCGCCTGAAAGCAGCATCAGATTACTGGGTCCAACCTTAATTCATAAACGAACAATCCTAGTCCAACCGGTTCAACCGTTAAGACCGCGATAAACCTACACTGTCGGAGAAAAATCCAGAGAAATATGTGGAAACATTCCAGTAACAGAATTTTAATTAATACACATAGATCCATGGATAAGGCAACCGAATGTTTAAAGTGTGGAGATCTTTACACCGATCAGATTCACGGATCTATTTTTGTATGATACCTAACGATGCTACAGATCACTTTCATTTTCGGGATTTCGTTTACTGGTTGTAGTTGTCAAAACAGTTCTTAAATAAAAATAAAAAATATTTTCTGGACACAGTTGTCCTTGTATGCTGGTGATGCTGAGACATTTCACAAAACTTAAATTACTAAAACTGTAATACGTTGTACGTATTCTGCAAATACCTACAGCATAATATCACAGACTGATAATCACAGTAATGAAATCTCCATCAAACCAGACTAAAACATACCGGTATCAAATCCTCTTTATGAAATTGTCTTCTTCACAAAAAACCCGATGAAAATGAAATTTTGAATTTATATACATGTACTAAATGACTTTTCTGATTGTAAAAAATGGCAATGATCAAGTCCGTTTCTCAAACGAGACAGAGGTGTACAACAAACACTGGCTAAACAGACACGTGTTTTTTCCGATATACTATTCAGAAGATCATGTGCCAATCAGCATCACCGGGACAACACACGTATTCCTGCCGGAAGAACATTTGGTTAACATGCGCATGCGCTGTCGACTTAGCCTCGGTTTGATGTCGGTTGTTCCGTGTCTGGGAAGGGCGTTTTACACCTAACCTCTACTAAGTCATGTGGCACGTGAACGTTGTCTGTCTCGTGTCCGTCTAGGTCTGGCGGACGTAACCGGACACCGGGGGAGGAATGCGCGCGCACATTAGGTTTGTAAGTCAGATTAGATTCCTCTAACCAGCGGGCGAATCGTGGGTCAAACTCCTCATCACCCTCGCCCAGTTTTACTTTGCGGTCATTATTAGAGGTAAGGGCATTATGTACGTCAAGATTGTGGGTACTTAGTGTCGCATGGCCGTCGTATTTCCGAGTCGCCTTTTTGAGACCTTCCTCCACAACGTACGTATTGACGTTCGGAATCATTTCCGTATCGTCCCGGAAAGACACTTCCTTGCTCCAGTTAAAGTTATCCGGAAGTCGATACGAACATCGGATTTTCTTTTCCTCGCCAACCAGACTCACTTCCGTCCCGCTTGTGGGCCGACTGAGAAGTGTTCCGGGCGCCATAGCATTCAGTTGATTGACAGGCGTTTTTGAACGCCGTGGAACGGAAGATATCACTTGTAGTCGAGGCTCCAGTGGGGAGGGAGAAGTCATTGAAGTTATTCGACCACCCGACCTGTCATACTTGAGGGGTACCCTCCGTATGACGTAATCAGAATCGTTAGTGCTCACGTTTGGCTGTATGTAGCTGTCGGGGTGGTTCAATTTTAACTTCCGTTTAAACAGCTGTAATGACGTGTGAATTGTCATATGACGTTTGGAAGCCTCTGATGAGCGATACGCAGGCGCTGATTTGTTGTCCCTGCTAGACCGAATCGCACTACCACGAATTTCATACTTGGAATCAACTGAATTATTCACATTTGACTGCATCCCGGTATTGGATGATTCTGCCAAAGGTTGGGGTTTAGTGTCATTTAATCTGAACGACACTTTTGGAACAGCACTAGGTTTGGTATCCCCGGCTGCTATTGTTTTGGGTCGCTTGAACGGGTCTTTTCGGTTCTCGTCATTTATTGGACTGTCCCGAAATTGATCGTCAATAGCGGGAAAGGAACGTGACCCACGACCTCTAGTCTCACGTAAAATTTTTAAATGAATCTTTTTTAAATTGTCGTTTTTCTTGTCAGTTCTGTCGTCTGCTTGCTTGGTACTGGCGATCCCGCCTTTTTTCCTGATTTGATAAATGACGGTTGTCGGTTCCGGTGTAGGTGTCGGTTCCAACGGCTGGTCCGTCGGTTCTGCTGTTGTCTGTCCGGAGGTCTGTCCGACTGTATCCGATATCGAGGTGGTCAGACCTTGCTGCTGGACCATGTCCACGATCTGCCGTCTGAGGCCGTCAGCGTGTGATTGACGAGTAAGCGGACTCCTTCCGGTTGTCGTGGGGTGGGACGACGCGGGGGTGTATACCCGTAACATGGCCCACTCTTAGCGTATCCTACAACAGAAACCACAAAATACTAAACTTACATGCAACAACATCACTATTACATTGTGGAATTAAGTTCTCTTCTTCGTGATATCAGTCAGTCACCTTATATGTGTGTCTAGTCATACCTGACCTATGAACTCTTCATCTGTCACACCTGACCTGTGGACATGTTACCGGTCACAACTTACATACTATATATTAAAGCGGACAGAGCAAGTTAAAAACAAGTTTCAAAACTAAATATTTTTTTGTCGCCGTATCTCAGGAAACGCCGACATTTTAGAATTTACTTGAATGTACCTGCCAAACTAGTCTCGTTCAACCAGACTCTTGTTTTCTGCGCAAGCTTCGCCGAACAGAATAACATGTGATAAAGCGTCTCGTTGAACCGTCAAACTAGTTATCATTGTTCAATAAGTCTGCAAAGTGACACTACAAAAGGTTGTGAAAATATTAGTAATATGCCTAAATGAACAATTAAATTATTCAATTATGCACAATCCATGCTCTTATGTACGGAAGTCTTAGTTCATATCATATTTTGGTACACATACAAAACACACGGACCTGAGGATTTGTTACAGTATAGCTAAGTTTGAACTTAAATGTATGTGTTTCAGAGTATCATTAGACTTTTTAGAGGTTTAGATTCTAGGGGAAATGCCAACACAAAGGATGGTATGTAGGTGGAGATAAACCCTTAACACGTCTGATTTTTCTCACAGCGATATTGTTACGATTCTCAGGTCCCTGTGTTTCGTACGTGTACCAGAATGGCTATAAATCTACTCTACAGAATATATGGATTAATAGACTTATCGGGATTATTGTAATCTTACCTGGTGACGCATTGCCTTTATATATTGTAATATACGACAAAACCTCAATGTATGATGCACTAACATGTGGATACTCACACAAACGGTTTGTGTATACGATGCTGGCCAGTATATAAAACACGTGACACATCACATGGTCTGTCTAGATCCCCGAAATCATAATCCAATTATCAAGTAACAATACTTGAAATCCAATTCAATTATGATATCCTATGCACGTGACCTTCACACCCCAAGATGCAATAGGTATCTCTAGCAGAATGCAAACACTTGGCGCACCACGTGACCTTCAAACCTCAAGATACAATAAGTTGCCATCACTCAGCATCAGTCAGACCTAAAGACAGGTATCGATACCATGGGCTGAGCGACGACCTCCCGAACGGTCGTCAGGACTGGGTCACTATCAGGATCACTTTCCCCTATAGGTCCATTGAAGATCCAAACAAGTTGAACCATTCCGTTATATATCCTAGACAGACGATCAAGTTTCTTTACATCAACACTGGTGTGAGAACACTGTCATATTATGTCATTTGTACCATTTGTATTCAGAGTAGAAGTTGGTTGAACGCTGTCGACGGTTTGACTAATAACATTGTATCAGGGTAGTTTTGACTAGAGCGGAAAGCTATGTTTGAGTTAGACCGGTATCAGTGCCGACAAATACGTTTTTTATCCCAGTGTTATAGATAAGGCCAATATTTACCCCACTAATCCACATATTTCCGCCTTAACCCCCAACTCGTGACCCTGCGTGCCACTGATAGAACAACGCCGCTCGCGAGCCTACCCCAATCAATGATATTCCCCACTTCAGCACGGCTTGACATCTAGTGCAGCTTACCACATTCTCACACGTACTTCCGCTACATGCAAGTGGGAAATACCTGTTTAATACGATTTTAGCTTGGTCGATTTTTTTCATTCCAAGGAGAATGGCAAAGAACCTAATTCCATTGAATGCAGACTCAAGATAAAATCCTCTTTCCACTGCACTGTTCACTCGTACGTTATAAATATTGAGGCCAAATAATTACAGTGGTTGTGATGTTAGTCCTGAGACTTTTCGAAGGCTTCAATACAGAGCTTGAGACAGGAATACGAGGTTTCGTTAAATTTGTCAGCGCAGCTGTAAAATTGGCTAGAGTCATATAATTGTAAATATCGCTGGAATTGTTACGATGGCGTTTACGCATACTCACTGTATATTGCCCTATCACATAACAACCAAAAAATGTCAGCCTTGTAACTGAGCTGTAGAAAAGTGTTTATTTGGAAAACATTTTCTATTGATTTTAAGATCAATAGTTTTAAGGCCAAATATTCCGCCAGCCTGACCTGTTAATCCTAAATGGTGTCAGGGTTGAATTTGCCAACGTCAAATAACCACCTCATTTAAACCCAACACAACATTGGGATACACATCTCGAAGGACAACTCAAAGCAACATCCTTGTGGAGCGGGGGGGTCACCAATGGCGTGTGAACAAATCAGAAACACAACACTGAAAATATTACAAATAAGTAAACCATTCTTTAGGATGAGAATCGGGTTCAAACCTTGAACCTTACGTTGTACTGTGTAAGCGCTCAATTATAGTTATATTATAGTTCGTCAATGATGCTTCTACCCTTAGTGGCTTCGGTTCCATGTAATAATATAATGATACTAATTTGAGGTTCTTATATACCGATTTATCAAAACCTAGTTCGTAGGTCGTCTCAAAGCGGTTCACAAATTATTATCCGTGTTTATAGGGCCTTTGCAACCAGCCAACATCTTTCTCAACTCCCTTGGCAACATACAGCCGGTGCTGCCATTTCGGCGCTCACAGCTAGCATTCAACAATTCTAGCACTGCTCAACCACGTACTCATTTACAGCTAATTATAAGTGGACTGGAACAAGCGGAGTAAAGTATCTTGCTCAACGATACAGCACAGTGCCGTGCCGTGACTCGAACCCGCAACCCTACGGTCACATGCTCAGCGTCCTACCACTAGAATACCGTGCCTCCACACGAAACCCTAGCAACTGTGTTCAACCCTTCTGGGGTCTTTTTAACAGTTCTTACTTTGTCCTCGACCGTTTTCAATTTAACCATGCAATACTGAATTCTCTGGTGTTTCACCTGATGTGGGACAGGAACCGTTAAAGCTTTACCGTCACTCATGTGTATCCCTCGCACAGACCCTCACATTAAAAAAAGAAAGACTACACGACACTTCTCACTCCGTGGGGGTCGATCGATACATTTTATCGATTATCGATTATTTACCTTACAATTCAGACGTTGAATGATTTTTATCTGTGGCTGCATTAAAAGATTACACGGTCATAATACAACATGAAACACATCTAATAATTGAATTTTAACACGGGAAGGCTGTGGGCGCTACATGTAAACAGTTTTGACTACAGTCGTCCTGGCGGACAATGGACATGGCCAATAGGGGTAATTATTAGTTATAATTAGTTTGCTGCTTGGAACAATCTATATAATTCAGCAGAGTTAAAGCTCGCTATAAAGAATTAGTAAGCCGAGTTCACAAAGATTTAAATGTCGTAAGCACAAATGAAAAATGACTCAATTTTCTTTGAATAGCTGTCAAAAGTGTGTGTCAAGAATATGGACCTCTAACGGTACGCTAAACGAGAACGGACATTTTTAGATTTGCGCCAGAAAAAACAAAAATGACGAAACAAAACTGTGCTTTATGACTTATCATTTTTACAACAAATCATTAAGGCTTATTAATATGTATGATGGCAATTATATTGAAATCTCACAATGGTTTATAAATTAAAAGTAAATAATTCTTTAGACCCTGCGTTCCATGTGTACATTCATCGGAACACGTGTTTAGATATTCAACGTTGAGCGGGAGCGTCTATTATGAGAGATTGGGGTAATTCTATACAAAACAACTTCTTCATGTTCGGTAAGAAATTCGGTGCATTTATAAGTGTTTTATCTAGCAATGGCCTCGATACGTATACATATCATTGGCTGTAGGATCGGTTTTCCAGAGCAATAGATTCAACGCGTATGTATTGGCCGTTACCACAATAAGACGCGGGTTCATGTCCTTGTAATCGAGTGAAGAGCGATTTTATTCATGGGAATTAAAATGACAGATCACACGAAAGTGAAGTATTTGATGCACACGGTTGTCAGATTGCGCAGTGGATAGCGCACCTACCAAAGACGGCCGAGGTTCGATTTCCCGATCGGACGTGAAAAGGTATTGGCATTGTTCGTTAAAACAATAACCAATATTCAAGTTTGCAATTGTCAAGAATTTTGTATCACTTAAGGTCGGTAGACTTTTCAGTTGCAACAAATATGTCAAACAGTACGATATGTATGAATACTCGGACATAATAACAGTGAACTGAAGTTACGGTAGAGATTGGGGCTCGTGACCGACCACGGGATTCAGATTTCCTCCCACAATAAAACACCCTTCGCAATTCTATATCAGTACTGTATAAGTTTAACGAAAATTGTGTCATAACTGTCTTAAAATAAACTTTATTATTTGGTTTGGAACAATTTTGCAGAAACAATGTTGTTATCATATAAATCAAGCTTGCTTGTTAAGATATTTGAGTAAAATAATTTTCAATTTATCATTGAAATATGCAGAACTCATGCTTAAATTTCGTTTCCTGTATAAAATATAACAATGAATTTCTTGGAACAAAATTTGTTGTAACATATTACAATATTCCCTTAATTATTGAGAATTGCTTGAAAACCGACCACAACCTAATGTTGAAAACAACCTACCAAATAGATAGTGTTGAACACACGCAGATTGCAGCAGTATTCAACAAATTTGTCTATGCACTCTAAAATGTTTTTAAAAAAATGTCGGCAAAAGATTTTAATATTATTTACATAAAGTCAATAAAAATGCGCCTAGCTTCTCCCACAAAGCACTGTTCTTTGTGGAGCTTGTCACGTGACGTGCACGAGTATACGGTTAAAACTCATTTGCATTTAATCAAAGCACACTTATAGACTTGAAAGATACCATGAACGATAACAGAGATGGATAGAGCTAGTGTTTTTATTATCGTTCGATAAGGGGACGTATAAAGCCCAATCTCCTGATAAAGCGGTTCTAATGAGACAGCTAAAGATTTGATCGGACGTCTT